TCAGGTCACATGACCACAAACACACACACACACACACAGTCATGATAACACCTGTGTGCGTCTGCGTCTCTCCAGCTCTGTACGATGAGATCTGTCAGTTCCGGGCGGCGTGCGGAGACGCTCACATGAAGACCATCCTGGCGGTTGGAGAGCTCAGCACCTTCACCGCCGTCTACAGAGCCAGCCTGGTCGCCATGATGGCCGGTACGTCCTGCAGAGTGTGTGTGTGTGTTTGAAATTTTCGAAAACGGCGCCTGACTCTGTACAGGAGGAGAGGGTGAAACCACTGTTGACAGACAGCTGTAGAGTCAGTGTAGTTACAGCTGCTGGCCTCAGTGTGGCGCTGCTGCTCAGCTGTTACACGGCGCCGTAATGAGAGCCCAGTGATGGAGGTGATGATTAAACCTCCGTGTCTGCAGTCATCTGTGAGCGTCAGGTCGTGGACTGAACCCGTGATTTCACGTCTTAAATAATTCCACATGAGGAGCTAATTTGACGTCTTTAATGAAAACTCGCCGTATGAATCTGCACGTCAGCGCGCCGCCTGTTCGCTCAGGATGGATGAGCTCCATCAGGTTAATAATGCTGATCCATTATCTCTAATTAACACACAGAAACACTGAGCTCAACTCCTCTCTAATGGACCCAAAACGTCCCTCTGCCCGGCTCTAATGAAGCGTCATTACACCGCTCTGCACGGCATTCTGGGTAATCTATTAACCAGTCGCACTCTATCTTCTATTTTTATCAGAACGCCGATAAAATGCAAAGACGATGGAGAAAGGGGGCGTTATAACTGATGGAGCAGTCTACGCCACGCTCGCTGTTAGCCGTTAGCAGGTGTTAGGTCTCTGTCAGGTCTGTACAGGTGACGCTGAAGGTAACTTCCTGTTAAAGGTAGAGTAGTCAGGATCTGAGGAAGTTCCAGTTCCCCTCAGCTCCTCCTCTCCCCTCAAGCCCCGCCCACAAACAGACGATCCTGCTCGCTCGTCCAGGACCTGAGGTCAACAGTTTAGCGGCGCTACAACACTTTTTAGCTTTTGTCCGGTCTACCTCCGTTTTAAGCGCCCGTTATTCCTCCAGAGTCTCCGGTATTTACTTTGTTTTCTTGCTTGTGTCGGCAGTCGTGGCCAAAGGAGGATTCAGACAATTTTCCGAACTTTCTGGTTGGTTTCTACTGTCCGATATTGTAGCACGCTAACATTGTTTGGGCTCCTGAACGACACGGGGGAGCAGCAGTTTCTTGTTGACTGTTTTCTTGCTGACTGTTTTCTTGACTGTTTTCTTGTTGACTGTTTTCGTGCTGACTGTTTTGGTGTTGACTGTGGTTGACTGTTATCTTGTTGACTGTTTTCTTGTTGACTGTTTTCTTGCTGACTGTTTATGGTTGACTGTTTTCTTGTTGACTGTTTTCTTGCTGACTGTTTTCTTGTTGACTGTTTTCTTGTTGACTGTTTTGGTGTTGACTGTGGTTGACTGTTATCTTGTTGACTGTTTTCTTGTTGACTGTTTATGGTTGACTGTTTTCTTGTTGACTGTTTTTTTGCTGACTGTTTTCTTGTTGACTGTTTATGGTTGACTGTTTTCTTGTTGACTGTTTTCTTGCTGACTGTTTTCTTGTTGACTGTTTTCTTGTTGACTGTTTTCTTGTTGACTGTTTATGGTTGACTGTTTTCTTGTTGACTGTTTTCTTGTTGACTGTTTTGGTGTTGACTGTTTTCTTCTTGACTGTTTTCAGTTTTGACCAAAGGAGGATTTGACTGTTTTCTTGTTGACTTTCTGGTGTTGACTGTTTTTTCTTGACTGTTTTCTTTTTGACCGGTTTGGTGTTGACTGTTTTCTTGTTGACTGTTTTGGTGTTGACTGTTTTCTTGTTGACTGTTTTCTTGTTGACTGTTTTCTTGTTGACTGTTTTGGTGTTGACTGTTTTCTTGCTGACTGTTTTCTTGTTGACTGTTTTCTTGTTGACTGTTTTCTTGAACACAGAGATATCGATATATTACCAAATAATCAATAACTAATAACTATTGACTGATATTAGAAGAGTTTTTGTTTATACACCACAAAATAAAGACGCTTGGTGTTCACTGTTTTCTTGCTGACTGTTTTCTTGTTGACTGTTTTCTTGTTGACCTAACCTGTGTGTGTGTGTGTGTGTGTGTGTGTGTGTGTGTGTGTGTGTGTGTGTGTGTGTGTGTGTTTGTCTCTGCAGGTTCCGACTTTATAAAAACATCAACAGGTAAAGAATCTGTCAACGCCACCTATCCCATCGCCATAGTGATGGCCAGAGCCATCAGAGACTACTACCTGTCTACGGGACACAAGGTGACTACACCGTGAATATAAACCTGTAACTACACCTGTACTATACACTTGTAACTGTGTGTGTGTGTGTGTGTGTGTGTGTGTGTAGGTGGGTTTCAAACCGGCCGGCGGTATCAGGACGGCTCAGGAGGCTCTGGTCTGGCTCACCCTGATCAAAGAGGAGCTGGGAGACGATTGGCTCCACCCACACCTGTTTCGCTTTGGAGCCAGCAGCCTATTGGCTGACATCGAGAGACAGGTGAGAGACACACACACACTCACACTCACACGCACTGACACACACACCCTGGCTCTGGATGAAAGTGTGTTTTTGTTGTTTTCAGATCTACCATCATGTGACCGGACAGTATGCAGCCTATCACGAGCTGCCCATGGCCTGATCATGTGACCTGTTGGAAGACCTCAGACCACACACACACACACACACACACACACACACTTAATAAAGACTCTAACTGTGTTCGATGAGTTCTTTGTTCTGATCCAGAGACTCGGTCTCATCAGAAACTGGTTGCTGTTTCTCTGATCAGCTGACCTGAAGCGGTCCAATCAGAGGCCAGGCTTTGTCTCAGCCGTGGAGGTGATTAAAGTCAAACTGAAATCGATCACAGCATCAATTATAATAAAATGGTTTGATGACAGAACCTCGTGGGTCTCTTTACCGTCTGAACTGAACTGTGTGAAAACCTGTTTATAAACGTTTGTTCCAGGGCCGCACTGAAGACACCGAGGGCCCGGTCTGGTCCCCGGGCCTCAGGTTGAACACTGGAATCTGTTCTCATCAGTTTGAACTCTGTGAAGGAGAAACTCTCTCTGTGTTCACTCTGGGAGGATTTATGGAGTCAGCCTTTAAAGATGGAAAACTTTCTCAGACTCTCTGCGTCTCGTCCCCCGACACATCCGTCAGAGAGCGAGGGTGGGGGGCCGGGGGGGGTTCACACAGAAAGACGTCCTTTAATTTCATCATCAGCTCGTCTGACTGACGTGCATCGTTATGGATAAAATTATCTGGGTAATTATCCGTCCGTCAGGAGATTTATGTCCTCTGTGAGCTCTGCAGCTCTCTGCGTGCAGCGTGCGCAGAAAGCACTTTGTTAAAACAGAGCTGTAATGAGCCTCACAGCGCCCTGATCTCCCACAGAGATCTGCTTTTGTTCTGCTCAACAACGAGACAGAGAGAGAGAGAGAGAGACACACCCTGACTGCTCAACCTGCAGGACGTCTCCGCTCGTCTGAATAAACTCGGATTTTCACATCAGCTCCGTGTGACTGAGACCTCAGCTCATCCACCTTTATAAACACAACACTAAAGACATATGACCTCCGTTTAATTAGGTTAATTAGCTGACAGGTTTATGCTCTGACTGCGCCCCCTGCTGCTCCGCATCAGTACTGCACTCAGACCTGAGGATTAAGGCGCCGTCTCTCCTCTCAGGTGAACCTGATCAGAAAAAAATGATGTTTTACACGTGATTAATGAGTGTTACCGTGATTTTTAAGTGAGTCTGTGAAGGTATCAAATGCCAAACCCCGCCCACACTCAGCATGCTGCTCACTGATTGGCTGAGAGTGATAGAGCTGCAGTAATGTGGACGTCCTGCTGATCAATAGAAAAATGTGTGTCTTACAGCTGCAGGCGTCTGTAATTAAATCAATATCTGAGCGGTTTCACCATCAGTGTGTGTGTGTGTGTGTGTGTGTGTGTGGACGGACGCCATCAGGGATCAATGAGAGCACGCCGCCGCCAGAATCACAATCATAGACGCCGCTGAGGGACGATCAATGCAGGTTTAACCATCGACCCCCGCTGCTGGGAAATCACAGGACTGTCCTCCACTGTACCAGGACCACCATAAATCTGAGACACCCCCCCTCTATTAAACCAGCTGGTTGACTTACAGACTTGTTAATATTTTGACTAGCAGACTTGTTGACATGTAGACTTGTTTACTTCTTGGCTCACTGACATGCAGACTAGTTTGCTTGTAAACTTGTTGACTTGTTAACTTGTTAGCTTGTTTTATTATTGACTTGCAACTTGCTGACTTTTTAACTTGTTGACTTGTTAATATTTTGACTAACAGACCTGTTGACTCGTTGACTTGCAGATTTGTACACTTGCTAATTTGTTAGCTTGTTTACTTTTTAACTCATTGACTTGCAGACTTGTTAATATTTTGACTGACAGACTTGTTGACATGTAGACTTGTTTACTTCTTGGCTTACTGACATGCAGACTAGTTTTCTTGTAAACTTGTTGACTTGCAGACTTGTTAACTTGTCTGCTTGTTGACTTGTTAGCTGGTTTTATTATTGACTTGCAACTTGCTGACTTTTTAACTTGTTGACTTGTTAATATTTTGACTGACAGACTTGTTGACTTGTTAATATTTTGACTGACAGACTTGTTGACTTGTTGACTTGCATTTTTTTACACTTGCTAATTTGTTAGCTTGTTTACTTGCAGACCTTTTGACTAGCAGACTTGTTGACATGCAGACTTGTTTGCTTGTTGACTTGTTTGCTTGTTGACTTGTTTGCTTGTTGACTTGCAACTTGCTGACTTTTTAACTTTTTGACTTGTTAGCTTGATGACTTGTTTGCCTGTTGACTTGTGTGCTTGTAAACATGTTGACTTGCAGACTTTTTAACTTGTTGACTTGTTGTTTTATAAGCTTGTTGACTTGGACATTTATGATCCTGTTCTTTGTTTTTGTAGTCTGATATTTGTTGCATATTTTGATTTTCTCTTTATTTTCACATATTTTATTAAATCTTTTATTTTTCTCCTCTTTTTTCTTCATCTGCTCTGGAGTTACTCTAACAAAAATAAATTTCCCTCCGAGGAAGATTAAAGTCTTTCTGATTCTGATTCTGAAACATAAAACTTCAGTGAGGAACCTCTGAGAACCAGAATCTTATCAGACTTTCACAGGAACTGGATCTCCTCAGAGTTTAGACTTTATAGGATCTCGTCTGAAGGACTGACTCTCATCAGACCGGGTCAGGGTTCCTGTTGGTGGGCGTGTTCCTGTTGTTGAACCTGCTGATCAGCCTGCTGAGCTCTGATTGGTTATCTCACTGTTTGAGCGTTTGAGCAGAAAAACAGGAAGACGAGTTATTATTCTGCTGAAGCCCCGCCCCCTCTGCCTCTGGGTGAGGGGTCACATGGTTTTTATGTAACAGGTCCAGACCCGTCCCTCTCCTGCAGAGTCCTGGAGTCTCTGGCAGAGGTAAGTCCGGTTCAGTCGTCCTGTGAGTGAAGTTTGGTTCAAATGTTTGAATGTTTTAGAGATTTTAGAGTTTTTAGTCTTTTTAGAGTTTTTAGAGATTTTAGAGATTTTAGTCTTTTTAGAGTTTTTAGAGTTTTTAGAGTTTTTAAAGCTGCAGAAACAGAAAGTGCTGAGTCACTGAAGAGGAGTTATTTAATCTGGATCAGATTATCTGGAAAAACAGAGTCCGAAAAAAACAATGGATTCAGACCCATTAAACCTGATCTGTTCTGGACTGATCCGGTTCAGACTGATCCGGTTCAGACTGATCTGTTTGGACTGATTCGTTTAGACTGGTCTGTTCTGGACTAGTCTGAATTGGACTGATCTGGTTCCGACTGATCTGGTTTCGACTGATCTGGTTCTGACTGATCTGGTTCCGACTGATTTGTTCTATACTGATCCGATTTGGACTGATCCATGTTGGATTGATCGGTTTTAGACTGATCTGATTTGAAAAGGATCTGGTTCAGACCAATCCAGTTTTGACTGATCTGGTTCAGACCGACCTGGTTCAGACTGACCTGGTTCAGACCGATCCAGTTTTGACTGACCCGTTTTTGACTGATCTGGTTCAGGGTTGGTCCTCAGCACTCCGGGGCGTTTTTTAATCTCTCCGTGTGTCTCGGTCTTTTTACTCTATCGGCGATAAACCAGGCGTGGTCGTGTTCAAAGGTCATCTCTGCGGCACGTTGATCTCCTCTCCTTTCTTCTTTGTTGGTATTGAGCAGGAAGACTGCAGATTGACCTCCTGACTTCTCTTCTTCGTTGGTGCGGAGCAGTGACCTGCAGAAATGATGGGGCTGATGGAGGACGAGGTGTTCCGGGCCTTCACCACCTACGCCAGCGTGGTGGCGGTGAAGATGGTGCTGATGTCTCCGCTGACTGCGTACTTCCGCTTCACCAGAGGAGTACGTGTTTTTGTTTCTGTCAGAGCAGCCGAGACGTTTTCTCCAGAGTTTCTTCTCTTCAGGGTTTACAGATGTTCATTTAAACCTGTCTGTGCGTCTGTGTCCGTCTGTGTGTCTTTCTTCTTCAGGCCTTTGCTAACGCGGAAGACGTGGCCCTTAAACCGCCAGAGGAGAGGAAGAAGCTGCTGAGGACCGATCCTGACGTTGAGAGAGTAAGAAGGTGAGCTCGCCTGCAGACGTTAGGATCCCTCACTTCACCTGTTGAAGATACAGTCACCCCCAATTTTCACCGCATCCGAGACAGCGGCGATTTTCACCGTCCGCCAATTCCTACTGGATCCGTTTGTGAGGCAAATTTCGTGGCAGATTACAAACAGCGGTAATCGCGAGAACTCACAAGAACCCGCAGATTCACGTTCGAAATCTAACGAAATCTACTTCTAGACTTCTAGAATCAGCATCTCCTCATCCATGGTGTCATCGGGGTGAAATGACGTCTGAAAACCTTTCACTTGTTCGTCGTTCGTATTTTATTTTGAAAAGAAGCAGGATGTTTTATTTTGTGTCTGTGCCCGACTTCCTTTCCAGCACGGGTTAATCTGTGCTGAATTTATCCGCCATGCTCCGGCGTCCAGAAAAAATAGAACTCTTGTGATCAGCTGAGGAGTCCGGCGATCCGCAGAGGAACGGAAAGAAGTCGGTGTAAATTGACACATTAACTCAAACGGTTACGATCAGCTACGATCGGAGGATACGACCTTTTAGGAGACGATCAGGATGCGATAAAAATTCAGGGTAAACATCCGTTAACGTCGAATCAAACTAAAACCTGATCCCGTTTCTGATTCTCTGCGTTCCCGTCCTCCAGGTGCCATCAGAACGACCTTGAGAACGTGGTTCCCTTCCTGGCCCTGGGTCTGCTGTACTCCCTGAGCGGTCCTGAACTCTCCTGTGCTCTGCTGCACTTCAGGCTCTTCGTCGGCTCTCGGATCTTCCACACCGTGTCCTACGTCTGCACCCTCCCCCAGCCGTGCAGAGCCCTGTCCTTCATAGTGGGCCTGCTCACCAACCTGTCCATGGCCTACAGGCTGCTCAGCAACGTCATGGTCCTGTAGACCTGGACCTGCTCAGCTGATCACATTCCTACAGATACTGAGCGTGCTCGAACCCTCAGTGTTGCAGCTGTTCTCGTTGTTGTCATGGTACGATTAAACAGGTTTAATAAAGTTTTCTATCAGCCGTGTCTCTCCTCATGTCTCATATCTTCAGGAACAGAAGGTTATCATCAGAGTTCACTTCTTACACAAATTCCACCTTTTCATCCATCGATCTGATCTGATCTTTGGACCCTCGACTGTTTCCTCGTCACAGTGACTCTGCAGAAAATTATCAATACAGTTTATCTAAAGTATGAACAGATCAGTGCAGCGGTGACCGAGAAACGCCACTGCTGCAAATAAAAAAGAAGTCACAACCGAAGTTACTGACGCAAAACAAAAGTTACTTGCTCAAGTCCATATGAAGTTAAACTGAAGTTAACTCTACACCGACATCCTCCAGTTCAACTTCATATGGACTCGGGCGCTACATGGTCTAAAAAAACGACACGTTAAAAAGTTTATGAAGTGAAATTAAACAATAACCTTCTCGCCGTCGTCTTCTGTGCCGAGATCGTAAACGCCGGTGCGTCATCATTATTGGTCCCCAGCAGCTCATTTTCACTGTAACTTTTTAATTATTATTATTATTCTTTTTTGCATCCTTTTATTTTTGCAGCAAGTAACTTTTTTCTTTTTGCATCGCCACTTTTTTTTGCGGTGTTTACCTCCATTGTGGCTTTTTTTGTTTTGTTTTATCAGCATTGTTTCTTTTTTTTATTTGCAGCGAGTTTAGGTATCTCTCTTTTTTGTGTTGATAACTTCCCCTGTGACTTCTTTTTTTCTGCATTCTTTTATTTTTGCAGTAAGTAACTTTTTTCTTTTTGCATTGCCACTTTCAGTTGTGCCTTTTTCAAATTTTATTTATTCGCACCATTTCTTTTTTCTTATTTGCACCGGGCTTTTTTTTTTTTTTTTCTCCGTCGTTAACTTCTGTTGTGACTTTTTCAAAATTTTTATTTGCACCGTTTCCTTTTTTTATTTTCTGCAGGCTACGGTTTCTTTTCTTTTCTTTTTTTTTTTTTGCATCGGTAACTTCGGTTGTGACTTCTTTTTTTGTTTTTGCCTTCTTTTTGACTTGCAGCAGTGGCAGTTTTCGGCCCCCGTACACCACGGCTCATATACCGCTAATGTAAAATGTGGATAAAAATAACTGATGGTTTGTAAATTTTCTTCTCTGCTCATTTTAAATCTGAAGTTTTAGAAACAGGTTTAGATAAAGTAGCTGGAGGATTTCAGATGCTCAACACTTCAGGGTCTCCTTGGTCCTGATTTTAGGGTCTGATTTTGATCCCTCAGACCAGTCCAGTTTGTGTTGAAGTCCAGTTTGTGTTGAAGTCCAGGCTGTTTCTGTGTTTCTGTTTCAGCTCCTGGACTTTCATTAATTCGACTCTCTGATTGGAAATAATAATGACACACATGTTGAGTATCAATAATTAAAGGAGCTATCGTCTGCAGTCTTAATGAGAAAGCTCTGATTCAGATCCAGTCTGTGTTTGATTCGGACTTATCGCTGCAGACAGTAATGGAATAAGTCTTATTGTATCTGTTTTTGACTGTTTAACTCTCATTTAGGCTCATTATTAATGTCCTTTAGGATGGGAGCAGATTAATCAGCAGCTGTGGGCAGGACGATGAAGAATGTGTAATAATGAGAATAATGAGAAATAATAATAATGTGAGAATAAAACTGCAGCAGCTGATAAAACAAACAAAGAGAGTTGTTTTAAATTCACCGTTAATCCTCCTCTCTCAGATTATGTTCATTACTGCTCACTCTGTCCGCTCGGGTTTTATCCTCCGGTTAGTATAGAGCTACACACATAGATCACATCTCTTTGTTTCTCCTGCTGTCGGTGCTCTCTCACTCTCCTCCACCAGAGGGCGCTGTCTGAAACACTCCTGCCCCCCCCCCCCCAGGCTCTGCTCATCAGGCCTCATTTATAGAGCAGGTGCAGCTCATAAAGCGCCGCCGCTCCAGCAATCAACTTCATTAACTCTGCAGAAAACACCCCAGATTACCCACAATGCACCTCTGACTCTGTGCACACAAACACTCCCATGGTCTGTGTGTGTTCACGAAACAACAACACTTACACACACACGGGTGAAGTTCAGAGCTGTGATTCTTTATAAAGAGCTGAAGACGTTTTTTTTTTGTTGTTTTATTGAAGGTTTAAGGAGGTTTTAGGTGTTTTTAGGTCTTTTAAGAGGTTTTTAAGATGTTTTAAGAGGTTTTAGTGTCAAGGTGCAGGGTTAACTAAAGAAAAAAAAAGACCCAAATGCAGAACTGAAGACTTATTTAAGCAAAAGCAAAAAGAAAAAAAGGCAAACA